AGTACTTGCACACACTCAACACTGGCACCCAGGCACTGGCCTACTCTATGGCCAGCTACTGACAGCCAGCCCTGATCGACACCAAAGTCGCCTAATCTCTCTCTGGCCCGAGGGGAGCAGCAGCGTTTGTGAAACAGATTTTTACAAAATGTTTTGACCCTGCTCTCCCCCCTCCCGCCCCCACCCCCGCATCCCTGCCTGGCACCGTGTCACCTAATTAAATCAGCCTTCGCAGGCGACTCAGCTTCCTGCTAATTGTGCTTTGGGCCTGCTTCCTTCCGGAGGCCGCTTTCCCCACCCCCTATCCACCACCCCGACTCGAGAGGACAGCACAGTATGGTGGGGGGGGGTGTGTCTTCGGGGTACGGGAGGTCCTCAGAGAAGGACCGCGTGACGACACCCGCGGTCCTGAGGGAGCTGGTCTGCAATCGGGGAGACTGAGGCACCGGGTTTGACCCTCTGCTTGGCCAGGCTTGTTGCCCAAGGACCCGGTTGGGTCCAGGTCTGAAACGACCCAGGATCTCGGGGAGACCAGCCCGAGCGTATCCGAGTAATTGTCTCCACCAGAAGGGAAGCCGGGGTACGCGATTCGGAAAATCCCGGGTGTCTTTCCCCTTCACCAACTGCACTGCCCGCCCAAAGCCGGCGGATTCTGGTTCCTTCCTTGACTTGGAGGTCGGAGGGAGGGCGCTGCCTCTGTCCAGGGTGCTGAACGCTCGCCGACCCAGTGCCGCCTCCAATTTACCCCATAACAGCAATGACTAAAACCAGCACAGGCGACTTTCACTGGCAGATTTCCTGAGCCATGCTCTGACCTAAGCGCTTCCAAGCTCTGTTTAATTTAACTCCCTCGGGGACCCTAAAAAAGGAGATCTCCCCATTTTAAAGAGGAGAAAATCGGGACAGAACGGTTAAAGAGCTCCAGGTGTGTGTGTGTGCGTGCGTGCGTGCGTGTGTGTGTGTGTGTGTGTGTGTGCGTGTGTAAGAAGGCTTTCACTTTATCTGTATTGTCTACTTTCTTCTTTTACAATTTATTTAATATTTTTAATTTTGTGTGTGTATGCACGCGTGCGTGCAGGCATGTCTGCTGAGGATAGAATCCCCTTAGAGCTGGAGTTACAGACGGTCGTGAGCCACCTGATTCTGGGAACTGGATTCATCTCAACTGCCCTTCTTTTTTCTTACAACCTAGAAAAATACACTATTGTGGAAAAAAAAATTTTTTTTGTTTGTTTTTTGAGACAGGGTTTCTCTGTGTTGCAGCCCTGGCTGTTCTGAAACTTGCTTTGCAGACCAGGCTGGCCTCGAACTCATAGAGATCCAGCTGCCTCTGCCTCCTGTGTGCTAGGATTAAAGGCGTGTGCCACTCCTGCCTGCCTTTTTTTTTTTTTTTTAAATGTAAGAAACATACTCCTGGTCAAATGATCCATACTCTTCAAAGGGAAAAGAGATTCACAATAAGTTTTAAAAGAAAGATGGAAAACACTATTGGATGGATTTATTTGGTTTCTTACTCCAACAAGCCAATGTCCTCATATGGTGTATATATGAATATATATGTATTTTGGAAACAGGTTAAAATTTGAATATGGAGTGTGTATTTAATAAAATGAAGGGATTGTGGTTACTTTGTTATGTGTGAGTGTAACTGTGACTTTGGGGTTTTTAGGAAATTGTTGTCTTTTTTTTTTTTCCTTAAAAAGTTGAGGGTTGGAGATGTGGCTCCGCTGATGGAGTGCTTGCCTGGATGCAGGAAACCCTTGGCTTGGTCCTCAGCAATCCATAAACTGGGCCTTCAATCCCAGCACTCATCTTTGGCTCCGTGATGGAAACCCAAGGATAGCCTGGGCTACATGAGCCCTAAAGGGGAAAAAGGTGCCAGGGTCTGGGCAAACGGCTCAGTGGGCCAAGTGCTGTGCCATACAAGCACGAAGACACAGTTTGGATCCCTAACCACCCACATAAAAGGCAGAGGTTGGGGGCAGGTCTGGGATCTCAGCACGGAGGAATCAGAGGTTGGAGGGTTCTTGGAGCTTGCTGGTCAGGTCAGACATTCTAGCCAATCAGTGAGAACCAGAGTCAGCGAAAGACCTTGTCCAAAAATTAAGATGGAAAGTAATTGATGAGACATCCACTGTCAATCTCTGGGCTCCACACGTGTGAACACCCCCCCCCCCATGTACTCACACATATATATACACACATATAACACACAAACATTCACAAAATCACAAGAGGAGCGGTTCGGAGACTCCTCAAGGTTGGTTAAGAGCCCCTTTCTCAACAGCCCCAATAGCCTACCCCTGGCAGATGTCCACATGTCCACAGCGTGGCCTGTCTACAGGTCTGAGTGACAAGCTGCATAGGCTAGCATCGTATCTCTGAGCATGCAAGCAGCAAGTCTTCAGTAGCTAAAATATGCCAATGTTTCTATAATGTGTATTACAGTACCTTAAACTCACAGCCACCCTGAGAGGGAGGAATTGCTATTCCAGTATTTGCAAATGCAGGAACTGAGGCAGAGAAAGTAATTTGCCTGTGGCCTTACAGTTAGTAAGGGATGGAACTGGAGCCCAGGTATTTTGCCCCTGCTCCCTAATGTTCTTGTTAATTGACTAAACCACAGTGGCCTTATTAGTGTGTGTAAGGCTTGTGCCTGAGTGTGACTTCATTTGGTGGGTGGAAGAGAGGAACCATGTCTGTGGTCACAGCAGGGGCCACTCTGCCTGTGGTGCAGGGTGAGAGCTGCCAGGAGCGGCAGAGAGGCAGGCAAGGAAGGCTGATGGGAAATGAACCTGTCGGCGAAAAGGACAAGGCCCACGAAACATTTTCTTGCTTTGAAGGATTTACCTGGTTATGAAATGTAGCTAAATTTGATTTTGAAATTAAAAATTTCCTCTCCATAATAATAAAAGAGATCATTCATCAGGCACTCTGTCTCTTTGCCTGTAAGGAGCTATATAGGACCTCTATAATGCACAATGTCTGAGACAGGATGAGGATTCGTCAGCAACCTCTGCTATTATGGAAGAACTGGGCTTAGGGACAAGAGTAGGACACAATCTTGCTCTCAAGATTCACCATCTAAACGACCACGGGCCAGAGACTTCCCTTACCTGGTCCTCACTTCTCTCTTCTATGACGGAGAGCTAAGCATACTTTAAAACTCTGTAAAGTGCCTGGAATAGTGGTGCATGCCTACTCCCAGCACTCAGGAGGCAGAGGCAGGAGGATCTCTGCAAGTCTGAAGCCAGTGTGGTCTACAGAGTGAACTCCAGAACAGCCAGAGCTACACAGTGAAACCCTGTCTTAAAACAAAAAATACTGTAGACATTTTTTAGATGGAATGATATTGAAAGTGCCTGGCAGAGTGCCTAGGGCATGGTAGGCGTTCAGTAAGTTATTTTATTCCGGTTGCTTCAGATACATTTCCTCTGGACCCTGTTGTCATCCAAGTGATTTGATGTTTCTTTTTGTTTGTTTGTTTGTTTTTTTGTTTTTCAAGACAGAGTTTCTCTGTGTAATATCCCTGGCTGTCCTGGAACTCACTCTGTAGACCAGGCTGGCCTCGAACTTACAGAGATCCACCTGTTTCTGCTTCCTGAATACTGGGATTAAAGATGTGTGCCACCACAGCCCCCCCCTTTCTCTTTCTAGATCGTGTGTGTGTGTGTGTGTGTGTGTGTGTGTGTGTGTGTGTGCGCGCGCGCCCGTGCCCACAGAGGCCAGAAGAGGGTATTGGATCCCTGGAGCTGGAGTTACAGGTGGTTGGAAGGTAGGTGCTGGGAACTGAATTCTGGTCCTCTGTAAGAGCAGAAAGTGCCTTTAGCCAATGAGCCACCTCTCCAGCCCTATGATCTGATATTCTAACCTTGGCTTTTTTGTGTTTCAAAGTTATACCTGTTATCAGCTACCTGAGTGCCTGCCCCATCCCGATGAGCTACCTGCTTTATCTAAGTCTTTCTGAGAATCAGTGTAGGGTATTGGCACAGGGGCTGTAAGGGGAATGATCGGAAAGAGCTTTGCCATAGAAGAGAGCAACTGGGAGTGCTGAGATTAGACTTCACTTTTGGTCAGTTGTGTGACTTTATACTTTTCCTGTCAGAGTGTCAGATATCCCCCCTTCATAGTGAGGGGGTATTTTGGGTTGTGCTATGGCATCATAAGACTCTCTAGATAACAATATGTGCTCATGAGACCAACAGAGGGTGAGAAGGTGTGACTGCGACTGAACTGGACTCCAAGAGGCTCTGAGAAGGACTTTTGGGTGTTGGAGTTGAAGATATGGAGGTGGAACTATATCAACACAAAGGCAGCAACTCAGAGATTTGTAACTACACACCCTTGGGGTGAATGGATGCGTCCATGTGAGACTGCATAGTGAATAGGAGGAGGTGGGTGGGTGTGTTTATGTAGGTGGGTGGGTGTAAGCATCAAACTCTATGAATTGTGTTCAAAGATGTGAGTGTAAGGACATGAAAATTATAACAATCAAATGACGTGGAAACGAGTGAATGGCTGGAAGTGGCGTGCATGGATTGTCAGATTATGTGTGAATGTATGCGGAGAAGTGAACATGTGTGAGGAACTGTGAGCTGATGGAACAAGAGACGGTGGAGGATTCTGTGAGGTAGGCCTCACATTCAGGAAGGGCTTGAGCCACAGATGAGATCCTACCCTCAGGGGCCCTCTAGAGGGGCTTGTGTGCACTCTGTGATCTGGGATACTATTTCCACAACAGTGGATGCTTCTCAGCTGTGGTGACAGGAGCATCCTCTGAGGAGAGCCTGGGTTACCACAGGGAGATCCTGTTAAGTGGCGTTCCCTCCTGTCTGCCTAATGTTCTTGGCCAAGAGACCCCAAGACAGTGGTAAGACTGACAACGTGACCACCCTTGGGCCTGTGGGGGGGGGGCACTGAAACAAAATGCATCTCTATAGTGAAGTGGTAGGGGACATTTTGGAGGGTGTGTGCCCTTTCCTGAGAACAGTTATGCAGGATTTCAGCTTGACCTAGTGTTGATACAGAGAACACAGGCCTAAGTATGACACACTTGTGTGCAAGGCTCACCGAGACCCTCAGAGTCACATACACACATAGAAACTAGCCTGAAGAATCAGCTTCAGTTGCTGCCTATTTCTCTTGCACTTAAGCAAAGTGTAAAAGGCAATCCTCTTTGCATGGGTGGGTGGGAATACACAGTGCTATAAAACACTTTTCAAGACAGCTGGATGATTTGTGCCCAAACGTAAAATGTATATTTTCTTTAAATATCATAATTTCATGTCTAAGAATTTATCCCAAGGAGATAATTGCATGAATGCGAAACTAACTGTCCACACATACACTCATCTTGTGGTATTTAACAGTGCAAAGCTAGAAGCAGCCCAAATGTACCTTGCTAAGCAGGTGAAATGGTGGTCTAGAATACAGCTGTTAAAATGCTCACAGAGCTCTGTACTCGTGGGAAAAGAGTGGTTTCCTGATGTGCTGCTGATTAAATGGTTGAGTGGAACAGAACACAGAGCTTGACTCTCCTTATATCTCACACTTGTATTTATATTTATTTAAGGACAGGGAGAAGCCAGGCGTGGTGGCTCTTACCTGTAGCCTCATCAGACTTGGGAGGTGGAGGCAGGAGGATCACAGCTTCAAGGCCAGTCTTGGCTGTATAGCTGGGCCACAAACGCACAAGCAAACCAACCAATAAAATAAATACATGCAGAAGGTGACGCCTGGCAGTGTCATCATTCATGTGGCAACCGTGACTAGGTGACTCTGGTGGTCTTATGTCTGATGATCATTGACTTTTGTTATTGTTGCTTCTCTCTCTCTCTCTCTCTCTCTCTCTCTCTCTCTCTCCAGTGAACGGACATGCATCTCCTTTAAAGATGGTAGGGAGAAAGATGCTTGGCATGGGGCACGACTTGGGGACTATTTAGGATTAAACCTCCACATGAAGGTGTTGGGAATGATAGTGCATTTGACAGCGCCACCCCAAGCTGAATACTTCTATAGGTGATATTACATGTCCCTCCCCTTCCCCCCAACCCACAGCTCCTTGCCTCATCTATGGTTTTTCTTCTCTCTCTCTCTCTCTCTCTCTCTCTCTCTCTCTCTCTCTCTCTCTCCCTCTCCACAGGAAGAAGATGTGAATTGCCTGGAGAAACCCTGGGCTGCAAACTAAGGCAAAGGAGACTCAGCTAGGGTTAAGTCAGCTTTAGAGCCCTCCACCTCTTAGTGGGACACACACACACACACACACACACACACACACACTGACCTCTGCCCTTGGTGCCCCTGCCCCTTAACAAGGGTTCCCAGCTCATGTCCAGCAGGAATAATGTTTTACTTTCCAACTAAAGCAATCATCCTGAAAGCAGTTTCCTCTTGGGGTAAACTCCTTAGAGCCTCAGGGATCCAAGTGATTCTAACAGCTGAGGACTGCGCTGCCCCCCACAACTGTCCTTCTGGGGGGAGCTTTAGATCTGCTCGGTGCTTCCGGGACACTGGAGGGACAGCGTCTCCTGGGTGGGACTCCTCTGTTTCAGTCGATTCTGACAGTTTTACAAGAAGGAGGGGAAGGAAGAAGAAAGAGGAAGAAAAAGGCGAAGGCAGAGGAGGAGGAAGAGCAAGGCAGAGGAGGAGGAAGAGGAAGGCAGAGGAGGAGGAAGGGGAAGGCAGAGGAGGAGGAAGAGGAAGGCAGAGGAGGAGGAGGAAGAGGAAGGCAGAGGAGGAGGAAGGGGAAGGCAGAGGAGGAGGAAGAGGAAGGCAGAGGAGGAGGAAGAGGAAGGCAGAGGAGGAGGAGGAAGGGGAAGGCAGAGGAGGAGGAGGAAGAGGAAGGCAGAGGAGGAGGAGGAAGAGGAAGGCAGAGGATGAGGAAGAGGAAGGCAGAGGAGGAGGAAGAGGAAGGCAGAGGAGGAGGAGAGAGGGAGGAAGGGAACAAAGAAAGGAAGACAAGGAAGCTCAGATCCGCCTTACCTCAGTTTCCCACTCTTGCAAAGGAGATATGCTTCAAGGACGGTGGCTGCTATAGTCTAAATGTTTGTGTCTCCTTAAAATCCATATGCCAGAACCCTTGTCTCTATGGTCTGAAAAGACGAGGCCTTCAGCTGGAGATTAGGTCCTGAAGGTAGAGCCTTCCTGAGTCGAACTGGCACCCTTATAAAACAGGCTCCAAGCTCTGTGAGCCCCTCCTGTTACGTGAGGTGCTTACCTATGAGGAAGTAGGGCCTCCCCAGACCTCCATCCAGTGCCCAGATTTCATCCAGTGCCTTGACTTCTCAGTCTCAGAATTGTGAGGAATAAGGTGCTATTGTGAATAAGCTACCCAGTCTATGGCATTGTGTTACAGTAGCCCCAGCGGACCGGAGCAGTGCTGGAAGACACAGGAGTCCACACCAACAGCCCCAAAGCCAGAGCCATCAGGTCTAGAACAATGCAAGGAAATGACAAAAGCAACCCAGCCACCACCAAAGGTGTGCCCTCAGTGTTCCACGGTGGGAACAGAGCAAGATAAAAAGGTGTGCCCTCAGTGGTTCCACGGTGGGAACAGAGCAAGATAAAAAGGTGTGCCCTCAGTGGTTCCACGGTGGGAACAGAGCAAGATAAATCCCAGAAATGTTGGGAGAACAGTCGTATAATGAGGAAAGCACATGATGTCAGATTCTAGTCATATCAGGCTGGACACCCAGTGAGGTGGGGAACACACTAAAACCACAAAAGTTCCTTATTTTTGAAAAGTACTGAGGAATGTGTAAAGATCCTGTGTGGAGGAGGCTTGGTTCATTTATCTGACCTAATTTACTCTATAAAAATGCCGTAACTGTGGATCAGTTCAGGTCTCCATCTTTTGAATGTCTAATGGACACAATGTGTCCTGACTGCCAGCGCCCCCTCAGCCTCCACTTACCACCTCATCCACCCTTCTTAAACACCACACTCCCAAGGATCGAGCTCTTTCTTACCTCTGTTAGCTTTATGTCTGTTAAGACACTCAGATCCCCATTGTCCTGTAGATTGAGTTCCAAAGACTAAAAATATAATTACGATTGTGATTCACAGTCGTAATACATTTGAAGACTATTTATTTTTGAGACAGGATCTCACTGTGGGGCTCAGGCAGGCCTGGGATTACAACTGTGTGTAAGTACATCAGGCAGGATATCAGTGCTACATGGGAAAAGGTGGTCTACTCTTCCTCCTTTCCCAAATGGTCTTTCTACCTCCTTAGCCCATTCCCATCAGGCAACATTTGAGTCTCGGGAGCTCATTTCACTAGTGACTCTGCTTCAGGATTCCACAGGAGACAGCCTGGAATACTGTTTTCTCCGCCAGGCAACCAGGAAGAGGTTTATTTACCCCAAGTGTGTTTAATAGTAGGTGTGAAAGAGATGCACCCCAAACTCAACAGAACTGTAATTGCATCCTGCCCCCCAAGCATTAGTGCCTCTCTGGTGGCCTTTGTGCTCAGGTGTTCCCCATGACTGCGCCTAGCATTAATAACATCTACTAATAACAATACTTTTGAGGCCTGGTGGAGTGGTGCACACCTTTAATCTCAGCACTTGGGAGGCAGAGGCAGGCAGATCTAGTTTAAGGCTAGCCTGATCTACATAGCAAGTTCCAGGACTGCATGTAGCCAGGGCTACACAGTGAGACCTGTCTCAGAACAGACAAAACCAATACTCGCCACTTGTATTGCACATAATGGCTTCTCGGGTCACTTTTGCATGGCCTCATTGCTTCAGATAACTCTTAGGGTGAGAAATACGTGGGGCACGTATTCCCAATCTCAGGTAGGCAGCCGAGGCCCAGTTTACAGAAGTAGCCAGACTGTGTGAGGTAGCGCTGAGAGGTGAGTTCAGGCCACTGCAGACTTGGGGCCAGGCACACGAGGGTGTGTACTCTTCACACAGATGAGGGGTTTGTTTGGGGGGACTGATAGAGACCCTACAAGAAGAGAAGCCTACCTGTCCCAAGCCTTAGCTAAAGCCCCACAATTAGATCTTTTCTTGTGACCCCATGATACCCATCTCGGCTGCCCAGTTCAGTCCCAGGCTGTCGAAGGCAGCGAGGGATGGGGGGGGGGCTGCAGGGCTGCTGGGCACAGCTGTGACGTTCAGGGTCCCCTCCCTGGCAAGCGCAGGAAGTCGCAGGGGCCGCCCTGGCCGCAGGGCGGCGCTCGCGAGGCCGTCCACCCACGCCTCCGGGCCGATAGACTGAGGCTCG